CCGGCGCAGCCTTGGAGGCGAGGAAGGACAGGTGAGCGAACACGCAACCGAAGTTGCGATATCGGCTCGATATTTCGATACAGTACACTGTGACGCCGGCCGAGTCGCAGTACAGCGCAGCACAGTGGGCCAGAAGACCGGTGGAGGCGGCCAAAACTCTAGACGCGTTTTGAGCTCCAGAGTCGCTAAATGGGACTCGAACTTAACGTGTGACCCCATCAATGGATTCCTCGTTCGGAGAGCAATCTATTGGTGGGGTCACACGTTCGGTTCGAGGCCCATTCAGCGACTCTGGAGCTCAAAACGCGTCTAGAGTTTTGGCCGCCTCCACCGGTCTTCTGGCCCACTGTGCAGTGCAGCAGCGGCACCGGGGCGTCTTTAGGCACCTCCCGTCCGCTGTCAGTCAGTCGCCGGCCCTATGCCATTCACACTTTCAGTGTGTGTGTGTGTGTGTGTGTGTGTGTGTGTTTGTGTGTGTGTTCATGTCTGTGTGTTGCGTGTGTGTGCGTGCGCGCGACAACGGACGAGGGCACTCGACGCAGGTGATGCTACACAGGGCACACGCGGGACCAGACCGCAAAGCCGACACTGTAAAATTCACATCGCCGCCGCCGCTGCCGCCGCCGCGGCCCCAGCCCAGTCCTGCCACCTTTTCCCCGCCAAAAACAGAAAGGGCGAAGAACCCGCGGCGAAGCCAGCAGACAACAGAAAGGACAGACCGGTCTCGTACGCGAGCTAATTTTTTAGGGGTTCCCAAGAACCCCTATTGTCCGAGGTCCGTGGATTCTTCCCCCCCCCCCTCTTCGATTTTCAAATAAACAACTCTAAACTATTTCGACCATGAAAAAAACGAAAATTCCAATTTTTTTCGAAAATTCATCGTGGAAATTTTCCGTAAACGCGAAAAACATAAATTTGCAACAATCGAAAACGAGAACCGTTCATGATATGAAAAAATAGTTCAAATAAAAAATGTGGCACTCCTCAAAACTAAACCTCCTGGCTCATCAAAGTAACAAGAAATCATCTGTGTACTGAGCAAATGATTAAAACATGAAAAAAAATCACCATGGCAACGGCATGGTCCCATCGTACCACCCGTCAAAATTTAAAGTCGCCGATAAGAGAAATCAAAACGCCGTGAAATTCGAAAATGCTAATGGTGACGCATTGCACGGTGTCCCGACGTTGGAACATCTTTAAAGTCTGTCACTACTAAAAAGTTCGTAGCAGATACGACGCATCAAATTAATTTTCGTGGGTTGGCACCGATTCTCTTGCCGTCTGCGCCCTTTCGAAAATCGCGAGGCTGAAAACACGAGTAGGCGCGCATTGAAACTGCCCCTCCATTGTTGCTGAGGTTGGATTGTTTGGCATGCTTTTAAAGGCTGCGGTTGTCTTGTCATGTTTTCGTCAATTCTGTAGAACAGTTCTTACTCTCAACGTAAAAACAGCACGATGGTTGGTTTGACAAACTTTATAAACTCGGGAGGGGTGATTTCGGAACGCGGGTGACTTTCGTTTGGCGAACATGAGCACTGCAAGTCGCGAGATGGAGTGAGGTGGTCATGGTGTTAACTGAATCAGGTTTGACCAGAACTCTTTTCTATTGGTTAGTTTAAATTTAGCGCATGCGCACTTTGAAATTTTTGGATTTTCTCATAGTCGGGCACTGGCACGGTCCAATACATGGCTATTTCAAAATAACCAAATGTGAAAATGGGAACACCTTGCAATGCGATTAGCATTGGAATTTTTTTTCTTTTCCCGACAGCTTCTTATGGTGTGGTGGTGACACCGACGAGCGCCTGGAGGGTAGGCCACCGCCGCCTCGCAGTGCAGCGGTGTCTCACCGCGGCCTACCTCCCCGGCGTTCGCTCGCGCACTGCGATTGCGATTGCGATTAACGGCTGGACCACAAGTGATCGTCTGCCTTTCGGGCCCGCCCCGCCGCTGGAAACTGACTGTGCACAGTGGGCCAGAAGACCGGCGCAGGCGGCCAAAACTCTAGACGCGTTTTGGTGCTCCAGAGTCGCTAAATGGGACTCGAACCGAACGTGTGACCCCACCAATGGGATTGCTCTCCGAACGAGGAATCCATTGGTGGGGTCACACGTTCGGTTCGAGTCCCTTCAAGCGACTCTGGAGCTCACAACGCGTCTAGAGTTTGGGCCGCCTCCACCGGTCTTCCGGCCCTTTTTTTGCAGTGCAGGCGGCGCGTGGCGACGCGCAAGTGCCGCTGTGCCACTGGAAGAGGCTCGGCGTGATGTGCATCCCTGAGACGTCATGCCGACCGGCCGATCTCCTTTCGCCGCGGAGGACCGCAGGGCGACGCAAGAAGCAAGCAACGACACTGTAAATCAGACGCGCCAAAAAGGCGGGGGAAAAAAAACAAAAACAACAACAAAAGGCGCACTGCAAATTTTTTTTTCAAGCGCGCGGAATAAGGTCAAAAATAAAAACTCGGAGATAAAATTGACGCCAAAAGTGAGCGATTTGAACTTGTTTTCGTCTGCACTGCTGGTTTCGGTCAAGCGATTTCGAGGGGTCGTTTCGTGTCGCTCTGTCTCTCTCGCACCTATACGGGACGCCCCATGAGTGCGAGAGAGACAGAGCGGCGAAACGATCGTCCCGGCCGCACTGACACTGACCCGCACCGGCCATCCGCCGCGTCGTTGGCGGCGAGGACGCCGTCGTTCGGGCCGCCAGGACGCCGTCGTGGCCGTCCAGGCGGACGCGGCGCCGAGGCGACGAGGAGGTTGATGCGCGGTAAACGCCGCCAACTGATTCCTCGGTCGACACGCCCAGTCGCTCTGTCTCTCTCGCACCCACGGGGCGCGGCGGAGGGGTGTGAGAGTGACAGCGCGACGTCTGTTCGGAGTCCGTCTCCGGGGCGGTAATGGGCCGTTAAACGGACGTCTAACGGGCGCCCCGCCCCGCCCCGCCCCGCCCCGCCCCGCCCCGCCCCGCCCCGCCCTGTCATAGGCGCGGCGCCCCGGGACCGCCCCGTCGCCGCCAAGGTCGAGTTCAAGTACCGGCCGACGCGGAGGCCTGGGGCTGGGGGACGACGCGACGGCGGAATCGGGCGGCAGCACACTGATTCCGAGAGTCGTCGCTCTGTCTCTCTCGCACCCGTACGGGACGCCCCGTGAGTGCGAGAGAGACAGAGCGACTCTCGGAATCAGTCTGCAGGCACGCCACTGCCGCCGGCACGCGGCGCCGCGCCCTCCCACGACCGATCGAACGAAAGCTTGGACTAATTTAGCAGCGCACTCGGTCGACTGTCACAGAAAAAAATAAACGTCATGTTCTTGTTAAAATGCTCGGTTGTCATGGGATGGGTTTCGAATGGTGTTAGCGCTAAAGGGCAAGAAAGATAAGTAGACGGTCGTGTACCGAGAAAAGGGAGGCCCACTGCAAAAAACGAGGGCCGAACGTGTGCAAACGAAGAGACTGTGCCTACACTGCGAGTAGGTGGCGCCGCGGCACCTGCCGGGCAGCGCGCTCCTCGCTCTGTCTCTCTCGCACTCATGGGGCGTCCCGTACGGGTGCGAGAGAGACAGAGCGAGACTCTCGGAATCAGTGTGCTGCCTGGCAGCGAGAGGACGGCGGCGAGGCCCCCGCGCCGCCACTGTAAGAAAGAGGAGGGGGGGGGGGCATGACGGTAACTGGACCAGTCCGCAGACAGGCGCCTGACCACCGTCGCATCATCGCGGATGACGGCAGATGCGTGGCAGTCCATTGATGCCTCTTTATTTCACACTTAGCCGCATCCACATTGCCATTGGCATTGGGGCAGTGGACTGATTCCGAGAGTCGCTTTCGTCGCTCTGTCTCCCTCGCGCTCATGAGGCGTAAACGGGAACGGGAACGTTCCTTTTCTGATGTCGATTGGCAGGTCGTTTAGAGGTCGCCCAGAGAGCCAAATATTCGGAGTAAATTGTAAAACGCTGATAATTCAGATTTTTTTCATTATTCTATTTGGAACTATTTTCAGAACAAGATACTCAGTCGAATCCGAAAAATCCCATTTTTGCAGTGTAGGACAAGGGAGGCACGCTCAGGCGCTTGTTGCCCGGCATGCATGGTGGCTCTCGGCAGGCCGATGCCCGGCACTGCTCTCCGTCGCTCTGTCTCTCTCGCGGAATCCGACCCGAACGGTTTGTTAGCAGAGACAACCCTCGAAAAAAAAAATATAGATATGGGGAAACTGCGGAAATGGTATCGCATGTTCCCTAATGGTCTTTCATTGGCATCTTTTCCCAACAGCACTCCCGCCATCCAGCATGCACCGCGAGCGAGCACGGCCCAACCACTCCTAAAAACATGCCTAAAAAGAAGACTCGCTGCGGTCGCTCTGTCTCTCCCGCACCTATAGGGGACGCCCCATGAGCGCGAGACAGACAGAGCGACCAAAATGACTCTCGGAATCAGTCTGCTGACACACTCGCCGGACACAAGCACGAGGATGGGGTGGTGGTGGAAAGAGACTACGTCTGTCACCCCTTGTCGTCATTCATTAAATAACTAAAAGTGAGATGTACTTGTGAATCTTCAAAACAGACGATTATTTTGTCTCGATGAATATCCCTGCAGATTTTACGTCATGTGCACTACAAGCCTAACTGTCTACGTAGTACCTACACGCTTACAAATGCTTGCTTGGCAAGTACACATTTACAAACGCATGCTTGGCTCCGTAAAACTCCACGCTAAGCATAGGAATTTGTAAGTGTGTACCTGCCAACGTATGCATTTGTAAGTGTGTACCAAGAAGACAGGTCTGCAGTGTGTTAGAGTTGTCTTCTGGAGGCGATGTGAGGGACCCAGGAACGCCAGAACGGGGGAGAGGGTGAGAGAGGCAGAGATAGGGAGGGAGGGAGAGGTCCAGGTACGGAGCGAGTGCGTGGGAGTGCGTCGAGGGAAGGCCCCGCCGAACCCAGCGGCCTGCAGTATAAATGCTCCCCCGAATGTCGGCTGGACATCAGTCGCTGCAGCAGCAGCATTACGGGTCTCTCTAGTCTCACCACGCAGCTTCCAACGCCATCGAACGTCGCCAGCTCCAGCACGCCATGACGCTCAAGGTACAGTACAACTTAACAAAAACAACATCAACACTGATCAACATCAACATTGATCAACATTGATCAACACCAACATTGATCAACATCAGGCTCGGACTGGCCAGGACAGACAGGCAGAAAAATCTGCCGGGGCCTTCGGGTTTGGGACCACACTGAGAAAACAAACGTGGCCAATTCCGCACGAGGTGGTGTGGTCAAATTTTGTTAAGATTTGACCACGTTTCGTGATGCGGTCATCGCAATTCGGAGCGCAAACGTGGTCAAGCTTATCGAGGCCCTATCCTTTAACATGGCGCAAACGTGGCGGATTCCGCGTTTGGTGATGCGGCGACGAGACTGACCTCGGCCGCGTCACCAAACGTGGTCAAAGTCCCAGTCCGCACCACACGTGCGGAATTGGCCGCGTTTGTTTTCTCAGTGCAGTAACGTCACAAAGTTGGTCAAAAAGTGATTGAGTCTCCAAAAGTAGCCGTTTTCGCTGAATTTGAGCGGCCACTGCGTGCGATCTAGTGCGGCCAACGGCCTCCCTCGACGCCCTAGTATTCTCAAGACCCTACTCTTTCATGCCGTGCATCGGGAAGACGTTGACCACAACGATTTTGCCTTTGACCGCAACGATTTTCCGACCCAGTTGGTCAAAACGTGGTCGAATTTTGGAAATTTGCTGATTTTGCTGACTTTGGGCGGCCACTGCGTCCAATCTAGTTGCATTAAAAGGCCTTCCTCGACGCCCTAGTATTCTTAAGACCCTACTCTTTCATGTCCTGTACGGGAAGGTTATTGACCGCAACTAGTTTGGGAGCGGTAGCCTCAAAAAGTTGGTCATGAAGGGTAAAAACAATGATGATCGGGGGCTTTTGCGGTCTTATCCGCCGGGGCCTTTTGGCGGCCAGTCCCAGCCTGATCAACATCAACATTGATCAACATCAACATTGATCAACACCAACATTGACCAACATCACCATATTGAACAACAACACCAAACAAGTCGCTTAAAACATCGGGTGTCCAATGTAGTGTGTTTACCTCAAGTGGTGAATTGAATGAGGCTTTCAACACGTCCGAGTTTCGGACCAAAGAGTCACGGCAGGGCTTGCCCGGGCTTGCCAGCCAACAACGGGTCAGTGTGCATCGCTTAAAAACGCGCTTCGCGGCTTGGCGGCTTCGCCTTGGTAAAGAAAGGCATTTTGTCCGCGGCCCATGCATCCCGTAACCCCCTCGGCCCTCGCCAACATGACGCGACGAAAACGAAAACGCGGACAACGCCGTTGTGCAGTGTTACCGCAACGCCACGCGTCCAGGTCCAGCTACTACATCGCCAAAAGTCTTTTAGGGAATATTGTGCCTCTCGTCGCTTGGAAAAGGGTATACCCTTCGGTCCCGGGCCGCCCGCTCCGGTGAGCGAGTTTGGGGTCGAGGAAACAAGGAGACGGTTCGGATTTCAGTTTCCGGATCTGGTGGAGCGGAACTGCGCGACTGCGATGCAAACCGGGGGAGGCATCCTGGGACAAGTCCTGGGACATGCGAGAAAGGAGTCTGCCGGGTGGCTTTGGCTTGCTTTGGCTTGCCTTGGCTTCTTGGAGCCTGTTGCGGGTGTCAGCCAACTGACTGGAGCAAGCCTGAGGCAGTCGTACTGTATTCTGCTGGAGTCTGGTGGAGTCTACTGGAGTTTCCTGTATTCTGCTGGAGTCTGCTGTACTCTGCTGAAGTCTGCTGTGCTCTGGGGGGGTCTGCTGGACTCTGCGGCGGCGCGGGCGAGGCATGAGGGCGAGGCAGGGCGTCCTTTCAGTGCCCATTGCCCATTTTCTGATTCTCCGGGGCTGTCCTTTTGACCGAAGGACCGAAGAGAACTGCCCACTGGAACTGCCGGAGGCGCGCATTCGCGTCCTGCAGACTGATTCCGAGAGTCGTTCCCGTCGCTCTGTCTCTCTCGCACTCATGGGCCGTCCCGTATTGGCGCGAGAGAGACAGCAGCGAAGAAAACGACTCTCGGAATCAGTGTGCCGGCGGTGCTGGCGGCCACAAAGCACACCTGGGAGCCCGGCCGTCTGAGGGGACGTCGCCGACGTCACCCACACTGCGATACGGATCTACGCACCGCAGCCTTGGACCTTGGAGGCGTTGCGTTTCGCACTTCACTGGAAGTCGTCTGTCCTCGCAGGAGATCGCGCTGCTGGTGGCGGTGCTGGCCGTGAGCGTGGCCGAGCCTCCCAGCTCGTCGTACGGGGCGCCCTCCAGGGGCTCCAGGCCCAGCTCCAGCTACGGCGCGCCCCGGCAACCGTCCTCCTCCTACGGCGCCCCGTCCGGCGGTAAGCGAGGGCCTTGCTGTCTCTCTCGCACCCCCACGGCACGCCCCATGAGTGCGAGAGAGACGGAGCGACGAAAGCCCTTTTTGGAATCAGAGGACTGGTTGTTCGGCAGCTTTGAGATGCTCTTTTTCATCGCCGCAGGTTTCGGCGGCGGCCAGGGTGGTAGTTTCGGCGGGTTCGGCGGCGGCCAGGGAGGCGGAGGCTTTGGCGGGTTCGGCGGCAGCGCACCTTCGTCCAGCTACGGTGCCCCGTCGTCCAGCTATGGCGCCCCGTCGTCTAGCTACGGTGCCCCGTCGTCCGGCGGCCAAGGATCCCCGTCATCTAGCTACGGTGCGCCCTCATCTAGCTACGGTGCCCCGTCATCAAGCTATGGCGCCCCATCGTCGAGCTACGGCGCCCCGTCGTCGGGAGGTCACGGAGGAGCCCCGTCCTCCAGCTACGGTGCCCCGTCGTCCAGCTACGGCGCCCCCAACGGCGGACGCCCCTCGTCCTCGTACGGAGCGCCGTCGGCCCGCAAGACGAAGCCCTCGTCGAGCTACGGAGCCCCGAGAAGGTGAGCATCCAAGAGCAACGCGTTCGGGCGGCATGGCCCAGTGTCGCCACACAAGAATGAGAAAATTCCAGAGTTAACTGCGTCGCCAACTTCAGCCTGACCACCAGGCAAAACCGGAGCTTTGCTGTCGAGAAGTTGTCTTGCAGGCAGGCTGAGGTTGGCAACCCTTTCCACACTGGTGCATCACCGCATCGTGAGGATTTTGGCCTTGTTATGTGGCAACACTGGCATCACTTCCCGCGTCTTCCCTGCCCAGGTCGCTGTCCACGTCTTACGGTGCACCAGGCGGAGCAGGCGGGTACTCCGGCAGCGGCGGGTACTCCGGAAACGGAGGACACTCGGGCGGCGCCGGCGGATACGGCGGCGGTCACAACGGCGACGACGACGAGTCTGTAAGGGCGGCGTCCCACAGTGGGCCAGAAGACCGGTGGAGGCGGCCAAAACTCTAGACGCGTTCTGAGCTCCCGAGTCGCTAAACTGGACACGAACCGAGCGTGTGACCCCACCAATGGATTCCTCGTTCGGAGAGCAATCCATTGGTGGGGTCGATTCGAGTCCCATTTAGAGACTCTGAAGCCCAAAACGCGTCCGGGATTTTGACCGCCTCCACCGGTCTTCTGGCCCACTGTGCGTCCGTCTACTGGCGCTTTGCGAGGCGGGGTTCGACTCCCGCTGAACCCTCTTTTTGAATCAGAACGAGCCCGCGCGGTACGAGTTCTCCTACGAGGTGGACGCCCCCGACTACGGCACCCAGTTCGGACACCGCGAGAGCCGCGACGGCGACCTCACGCAGGGCTCCTACCACGTGGTGCTGCCCGACGGCCGCCTGCAGACCGTCGAGTACGTGGCGGACGCCGGCGGCTACCGGCCCACCGTGTCCTACCAGGGCGGCGACGCCAACGGGGGCAACGGGGGTTCTGGCGGCAGTGGCGGCTACCAGGGCGGCTCCGGCGGCTACCAGGGCGGCAACGGCGGCTACCAGGGCGGCAACGGCGGCTACCAGGGCGGCTCCGGCGGCTACCAGGGCGGCAACGGTGGCCACCATGGGCAGAAACAAGGCGGTCCCTACTGAACGACCCTCCGGCGAGTCCCCACTGCCCCCATTTTGTGATTAATGATAATTTATGAAAGTAACGTTACTTTTGTTGATTATTAACCCCATGCCGAAGATTTTGCTCTTTGGCATCGCTACGTCATTTGTACATAAATATTGAGTGTGTTGATTGTGTAACTAGACTAGGCATGTAAATTATGTTTGTTTTGAAAAATAAACTCGTTCAATAGAGTTGAGAATTTGAGAATTTAATGACCAGCATCCAACAACCAAATGACTTCCAAAAGATCCTGTTTTCTTTCTGGATTTTGAATCCAACATTTACTCTGGCAGAAGAGCTCAGTTCTTTTCCATGTGTTCTTATGGGTAGAAGTCAATACCAAGATTGCAGGGGAGTCTGGAATGGCTAGGAGTGCCTAGGAAAAGAAATAGAATTGTGACAACAAAAAAGAAATTTCTGCAATTAGTCTTTTATTTGTAATAAATTTATAAGCTAACAGTTCAAACAAACATAATAAGGTTGTCGTCCACTTTTCACCTAAAATTAGTTTAATTTTCTTCACCACTTTCATCACTTAATTCGTCACTATCACCACCCATAACTTGCCAAAAAGCTTTCACTACTTGCTCAGCACAAGCTTTTCGATCATCTGTAGTCATTCCGGATACTCTTTCCTTCATTTCTGCTAAATTTTGAAACAATTTAAAGAAGTCATCAGTGCTACCCCCTGACCCAAGAGCATCTGAAATGGAACAAAACAAACAGTTATTTCAGGTAACTGAATAATTCATTTTTTGAATGAAGACAGACAGGAAAGAAATTTGTTAAGTGTTAGCCTCTAACCTGGTGGGTCATCCAAAATATGCGGATCAAATGAATTGTCATTTTTAAGGGCTTCTTCATGCAGACGCAGGTTTCGTAACTCTTCACCGAGACCCTCATCCCCATCTCTGTTACTTGAAAGCAACTCGTCCATATCAACACCACTAGATTCCATAAGATTAGCAGCAACACTAGAATTAAGGAGCATTGACTGAACAGCACGGGAGCAGTCACTCGTTTCTCCTAAATTCACAAGACAAAAATTAAATGAAGTTAAAAGGATAAATGAGCAACAAGAAAGTGGTGATTGAAATTTTCATTAGGAAATTATAATACCTTTCATGCATAAATCAGGCCACACATGAGCATGCAGAGCTTGTACAATTCTAGGAATTCCTGTAGTTTCAAGAAAATCTTGTTCTTCTTCCCACTCCTCATCCTTTTCTGGGTTGATCTCGACTAATTCATAGCCTCGTGCAATGCACCACTCTTGAGCTGAAAAGAGAAACAAAAAGATAAAAGCAGATGAAGGTGAATAAAAGATGTCTAATTCTGGACAAAACAATTGTGTGTCCATCATGAGCAAGTTAGAGAACATTACCGGCTAGTTTGCTGACTCCTTTTGACGGATTTTCTTCACAGTTGTCACATAGCAAAATGCGAATGTCAGGGTCATACTCTTTAACGAAAGGCTCCCACTGGTCTGCATCCGAGAGTCCCCCATTCTGCAACATGAGCCAAAATGTTGAGACGGTTTCAAGTAACATCCAGACTCAAAAAAAGAGGTGTTTTTGTACCTTTGAACTGTCAAAATAAACAATAACTGCCTGGACTGAGTTAGCAAAGTCTGGAGAACCAAGTGTTTTTTCTTGCAGAGCACAGACGTGTATGTCAGCTGTGTAATACTTGGTATCTATATGCCATGGGTAAGCAATGATTCCTTCTTCAAGGATTACTGATTGCTGAAACTCGTCTTCATTCACAATCACTGCAACAAAAATTAAAGCTAGTATCAATGGAAGTGCTTGGATATCACGACAAGTGATTTGATGATACACAGTATCCCAACCAACTTAAGCCAAGTCAGTGAATAACGTCATGTTAAGTCAAATTTTATTTCACTCGCCAAACGCAACAAAGTTCAATAAAAAATGTATTTATTTGTTAGCTAACCAGAACATTGAAAGGGTTAGGACCACGAAAGCAGATAATGTCACTCACATTTGACGATATCACTGGCAGGAGTTGACGGGTTGCTGAGCGCGACAGCGCACGATTTCCTTGCCATTGTCTCACAAAAAATCGTTCGAAATGAACGGAGCACACCGTGAAAGTCGTGACAGCAGTGGCACAGACAAGACGACCTGTCAAATCGCTCCCCAAACACGAGTATGAGAAATTTGTGTAGCAGCGCGAATCTCTTCCCGCCCCCTACCGCTACCGCCCCCCTCACCCTCCCTCGGCGAAGATCTTTTAAGGTGGAAGGCTGGAAGGGTTGAAATTGTATTTGGTACACCAAGAAAAAAAAACTCTCAGTTTCATTTCTTAACAATTTATTCCAGTAAATAAAAACCAAGAAAAGTCTTAGCTGAACAACACATGTCAACGAGATTTGAAATGATTTCTCGCTTGTTTTCAAGTAGTTCCTTAAGCCAACAACGAATCAATGCTTTAAAATTTTAAATCAATCAACCAACCATGATTTTAATTAATAAAATAGAGCTTTAAATAATTTCTTTAGCTCCGCACACATGTGTAAATGTGGACAATCCACAACCTTGAATTCTACAATTACTTATAGGTATTATTCAATTTTTAACCAAAAGGCTGGAATTTGCCATGTACTTCAGGCAGAAGCATCCCAAATGTGCTACAAACAGGCCAAAAGGATAATTTGACACGTGTACAGCACAAAAGTCTGAGCCTATATAAAATCCTTCCAGGTTGTCACAAAGAACAGACTACAGTTTTGCACAAAAATAACAAATCGCATAGCTATCAGTGTCAGAATCAACTATCACTAGATTCATGATTGCATCGAGATACTTTAGGATGCTTCCTCCACAATTGATTCGCTGAACATTGGAGACTAAGTCCTACCTTAAAGAAGAGAAATATTGGCTCCTGGTAGAAGTACAAAAGACATTTCCACAAACTAACACATAACATTAGGAAATGTTGATAAATGACACATCAGACAAGAGTCCCACCCAGCAAATATTCCCACAGAAGTACACGAGTCAAACAGTGATGATGTCATTTATTAACAAAACCTTATAATAAAGTTTTGAAACAAACATTTTTTAAATTTATAATGGATACTTTAATTATGTACAATCTTTTCTTTTATACAAATGAAACAAGAGTACATATTAATAAAATTCAAAATCTACAAAATGCTTGATTTTTTCTAGCTGACAACAAAACACAAAATTGAAAGTAAGGTAGCTGCGCATAGAGAATATGTAAATTTGTAAATAATAAACCCATCCAACTGACAATCCACAGGCATCAACTTACAGATGTAGAAAGACGATCATTTAGCTGGCAGTAGTCGTTACACAGGTAAAACGAGAATTAAATTTAAATTGCTTTAAAGTGCGGAGTCTTCGAGGGTAAAAATGGAAGAATCTGCCAAGCTGCATTATTACTTGTTAAGCCCAAAATAAAATTGTAGGAACAAACTTTACAGACAAAAGAAGTTATGCACACTTTGTGGAGATATCAATTTCATAAAACTGCCCAGTTGTCATCGTACCTACCCCTCACAATACATTACAATAAGACACTCACGCATACAAAAATACAATACAGGAGGGCAGTCCCAGCCACATTCACTCTGTACACACTGTTCCACTAACTCACACCACAAAGTAACAAACATACAATACATAAGACACAACACCGTTGATGGGAAGAACTGTGGAAGCAGTAGACACTTGCCTTTCACATTCTGCTCTGCCAAAATAAAGAGAAGAGAAGAGAAGAGACATCACAGCCTTGTCCTTATCCATCCTTTTCAAAAAGTTAAATTTGCTTATTGCAACAGAGCTTTAGTAGCACAAATTCTAAGAAAGAAAATTGTTCCTCTAGCAGCAGGGGGCATATATGTTAAGCTCCTAATAGTTATTTTCAGAGCAATGTAAACAAAGTATTGTGTTCAGCTGGACAAATTACATCTATAAAAAGTAGGTTACATAACAACTTCTGAATAAGTGAGAAAAATCTGTTAGGCTGGAACATACTCACATATTTCAGGCCAAAACTACAAACTGATTAATAAGTAACCATTTCTGAATCTACTCTTTCACCATTGGAAGAAATTTTAACACAATACACATCCCTATCTTAAATTGTACAAAATGTGATCATTTAACAGCAGCCACAGCTGCCTCAAGTATTAAAAACAGAGGGTGATTAAATGGTCCAATAAATTTCCTTTGTAAGTGTTCTTTGGAATTGTATTGTTAAGAAAATTGGAATTGGGAATGTCTCTTGGAAGGCAAAAAGGACCTATAGATTCAGGCGAACCCTCAGGTCATTAGCATAGAAAATATTTCGGTTTACTTAACAGTCACCCAACTGTTCCAATTTAATTTTACTTTTTTAACATCTTGAAGAATTGCAGAATGAAGTTTAAAGAACATGTACTTCTTTTTTAGATAAATATCTCTGGAAACTGAGATGAGAGTGACTTCAATCCTCTCAGTATTAAACAAATGACAAACAAAGATAACAAGCAAACAAACTATGAAATTTTTGTACAAAAACATAAGACAGATACAGAATAAGTTTTGCATAGACTTCTTTGGATGAACCACTTAATCACGGAAAATAAAAAGAAGGTTGCTACAAGAGAAATTCGTTTGAGACATAAGGTTAGTTAAGTTATATAATACAACTGATATCTTAAATTAAGAGAGAATTTATAATTTAAATTTTAGATGTGGTAAATCTTACAACATGCAAATCACCCACATCTCATTTGGAGCAAAGTTTAGAATGTATGTGAACAAGAGGCATTTAAGGGTTTTAGGGGGAGCGCAGTTCCAGGTACCTCTTGGCTGGCAGTAGATCCAGAATAACGGTATTATGTTTATCAAAACTACATATAAAAGACGCAGATTTTGAGTTGAAGGGTTTTCACAGGTTCTGTTTACAAAGAAACTTAACTAAAATTAAAAAATCTTCAGTCATGAGTTGTGCCCTAAGCCCCCAATTCTTGACACAACAGTGCATTGCTCCGAACCTTATAATCATTCAGGTCCTTCGTTAGGTCTCAAATCCATAGCTACGTCCCCACCTTCAGCTTGGCCCTGTGACAACATACAAAAGAAGCATTAGTCGACTTTTATACAATTCTGCAGATAAAAATTTCAGAAGATGGCATTGCCCATACCTGAAAGACATTATGACTAGAAAGGAGTCTGGTGAAGGGATTGAGCATGTGAGGAGCATGTGGCGGAGGACTTGCCCCCAAATCACTGAGATGTGAAAGCTGCTGCGTCAATGCCATGGTACCCCCCTCTGCTACCGTAAGAATAACCCAGATGACATCTGGAAAAAAAGAAATGTACAAAAGTGTAGAGCACAGATTGATTTGCAGTCAGCGAGTTCCGAGATACAGCTCAAAGCTAGCAACAAAGACCTTATCTCAGAGTTTCTGAACTTCTCTTCAAACTTTGTGAGAATGTACAGCTAATTTTGGTTCAAACACATTTTAAAAAAAAAAACAAAAAAAAAAACTTTACCTCCAAAATATGACCCAGCAGGTGTGACCATTCTCCACTTGCTCTGGTAGATTCCTGGTGTTAAAGGACTTCTCATTTCCACACTGATGTCTGTAACGGCACCTGCCCGTACAGGCTGTACAGGTACCCTTGAAAGGAAAAAAAAAAGTTATAATTTCACAAAAACAAAAACATAAATGAAAATTTTAAGTAAAAGAAACAACCTTTCACATTCTGAGAGTTGAACTCCGCCAGTAAATTGTAGACAGCAGCCATCTGGCCACTCATCATCACCATTGTTCTGAACTCTCCATGTTTTGGTGAATCTGAAAGGCAAATGTTATCTCTTGAGTTGGTCCACATCCATCTTGCAGTGTACTTTATCAGAATATCCATGATACTCACTGGGTCGCTGGTGGGACACTTTCTCCCTCACCTATCGTCACATCCTTCACAAGGACCATGGACGGCAGGTCTGTTGGGGATTGGCAATCGAAATAGGAACAGATTGCAGCTTGTAGATTCCTGCGCAACACATTTCTAAAGTTAACAACTAGTACACCACCTAATGGTTATCAATATAGATATAAAAATTGAGATGATTCTAAAGGTAAATTTGCAAACACAAGTATTGGAAGAAATTCAAAATTCAGAAGTATTATTGTAGTTTTCAAAGTATTGTTGAGACAGCCCCAGAGTTGATAAAGGAACCTGAATTCAATACACAGATAAGAGACACCACTGTGTACTGTACAGTATGCGTCTTTGCGTGACAACAATTCAGCAGAATTAAGTAGAATGCCCACGCAACTGGGCCATGATCGAAAAATACATTTTAAAGAGGAATTTGGACAACAACAATTGGGACAGTATCAGAGACTCATCACAAAAACAAGTCAGTTCAGAAGTTAAACGGAAGATAAAGCAACTGCGATTAGTCATCTTAATTAGAGCTCTGACGATATGTTTGGTTGCATCACATCATGGAGAAATTTAACTGACAGAGTAAACATTCAATTGGTAAGGAGGGTAGGAGATAATTAAAATAGAGCCAACGGTCCAAAGGTGCATGACAGTGTAGTTCTGAGGACAACAGAGGCGATTTAGTGATAAGAGTTGCCTAGCAGAGGCACCCAACCTGCAAGTGGCACCTCCAGACAAAGGTGCACCACCAACAGAACCGGGTGTCAACTTACCAGTTGTTCATATCAAGGAAAAACGCAGCCGTCGTGGAGTTCAAATGGTGGCCAACAAGTTTCTGCAGTTGCCTCACTAAGTCATCTTTGTCTGTGGTGCCCATGCAACTGAACTGCTGCAGCAGAGTCTGGTCCAGTTCGTTGTCTACCTCCATGTTCAACAAAGTCATTCGCCAGTCAGACGCCAAAAGGAATCAGCGGTGCGCTCTAGGCACGCTCCGGTCCCGCAATGTCCGAACCATCAACGGGAATTTAGGGGAGAACTTGCATTTTCACTGGAACAATTTTCAGCCTTGTTTTGTTACTATTGAAACTGTTTGCACACTAAGGCCTTGTGGCAGGTCACAAACGCCCTTGTGCCTCTCATCCCAATGTGAATGTGAATGTGAGTGTGAATGTGTTCGCAGAAGAAGCGGCTTCGTGGGAGACTAGAAGCAGCTGCTTGGATGAGAAATCGAACCTGCGTGTTTTCAGTCGGGGAAGGACGGTGCGAAGATGGTTCAAGGGATTACAAATGAAGGAAAGGGGTTCGTAATTCTGCGTTTATTCAAAATTGAAACAGAACATGGACTTATTCAAAACTAATTAATATATCTATCACTTAAAGTTGCCTCCCCTAAGAATTTGGCCAGTCCTCCTGCCCCCAGCAGACTGATTCGGAGCCCTGTTTTCGTCGCTGTCTCTTTCGCACTCGCCGCGTCCCACAAGAGTGCGAGCGAGAGAGAAAAAGTGTCAAGCAGAGTTGGGAATCAGTCTGCTGGGCGGACTTCGCCACCGCCAGCAGACCCCGACGATGTTGAAGAGCCCCGCCCCGGTGGACGCTGGTTCCTGGACGAGCCTCGGCTCAAGCGTCGGACGACTCCACGGCCACGAGGTCCACGTTGGGCAGCTGGGCTCGGAACGCTGGGCAAGACACGAGCTTCCGCAGCGCCGCCATGGCGTCCTTGTCGTGCTCGAGGTCGTGGCCGCGCAGCCTGAAGGTGGCGGTGCGGAGGGACGTCCTCAGGGCGACGCAGAGCTCGCTGGCGTCGCGGAGGACTTGGCCCAGTCCCCCGGGGAAGCCGGCGCCCTGCTTGAGCACCAGCTCGACGTGCTGCAGGCACGGCAGCGCGGCGCACGCGTCCCAGACGGGGCCGCGCGGCGGCATGTCCACCACCAGCGCCCGGAGCTGCGTCGCGCCGCGCACCAGGTCGGCGACGAAGCCCTCCGGGAAGCGGGTCGTGTCGTCCGCTTCAAGGCGCAGCACGCGCAGCGCCGGCAGGCGGGCCGCGAGCTCGCCGTCGTACGGCAGGCGGACGAAGGCCGGGAACGGCCAGTCCTGGTGGCGGTGCAGGCCGTGCAGGGCGGCCCAGTTGACCTGCAGGCCCCCGAACATGAGCTGCGCCAGCTGCGCCGGCGGCGGCGGCAGCGCCACCGGGGCGGTCCGGCGGGTCCGTTCCAGCCGCAGCACCAGCCGCAGCTCTCGCAGCTCCCGCTGCCGCTGCAGGAAGGCCAGCAGGGGCGGCCAGAAGAGATTGGCCTCCTCGCTGGAACAAGGAGGAGGCGAGGGCGACTTCAGCGGGACTCGCCGTGGCACAGTGGGCCAGAAGACCGGTGAAGCGGCCAAAATTTTACTCGCGTTTTGAGCTCCAGAGTCGCTAAAAGGGACTCGAACCGAACGTGTGACCCCACCAATGGACTCCTCGTTCGGAGAGCAACGCAAAGGGAGGGCCACACGTTCGGTTCGAGTCCCATTTAGCGACTCTGGAGCTCAAAATGCGTCCACCTACCGCTGGAACTGGCAGTCCACCTTGCGGACCAGGGCGCGGCTGCAGCGCAGTGCGGAGAACAGACGGGGGGAGGGCCGCCAGGGCCGCTTGTCCACGCGCAGCACCAGCGACGCGGCGGCCGGGGCGTGCAGCAGCACGCGGGCGAACTTGGCCTTGTCCACGATGGGGCTGCGGGGGCGAAGAAACCACCACTAAATTTCGATAAATTTCGATGAATTTTAGTCGAATTTTGATGAATTTCTCATGTTTTGATGAATTTTGGTGTACGAATTTGGCTGGAGTTACTTCCCCTTGACTCACTGTTTGAGAGGTTTGTGGTCGTAGAATCTAAACCGGAACCGCTGGCCCGCCCAGGCGTCCGGGTCGCGGGCCAGTCGGTGCCACCGCTTGCACACCAGTGGCAGTGTGTCCAGCAGCGTCACGCAGTCCGCCTTGCTGAAGACTTGCATCACCAGCTCGTCGGGGAGCGCGTTCAGACCGAAAGCGCCCTCCGCGGCCTCGGCCGGTTCCTCGGCCTCCATGGCGTCCAGAGAAACTGGAACACATTTCAGGAGACGGCGCCGAGTTAGCTCCATAGTTAGCTCACCTTAGTTAGTGACGGTTTGCAATGTTCTGCCGCTGCTGGCTAACACCCTTCGCCCAAGCAGGCTCATATTCCACATCGTCCGTCAAAAAATACTTAAGCTACTCACTCGGATGAAACGAGATTAGGACGATGTCGCACTTCGACGAAGATGACACCACGCCACGACACGTTCACTGCGAGAGTTCGTCTCAATGACGCGCACTGCTGAACTTCGAATTCACTCTCGCAACAGCGTCTGACAGCGGCAAGCGTGTACTAAGTCTCTGAGCCCACCTCCTCCACGCGCCGACGGCTGACCACTGAACGAACCACTGAAAACGGACCCCGCGCAGCGTTCTTTCTTTGTGTTCCGACTAGTGGCGCCATCCCCTCCCCCTCCCCCGCCTTCTAGAGAGTCGTATTGTTGCGTTCCTCGGCTTATCGCCACCACACTGACGGTACAGACGGAGGACGGGCGGACGGCGCGCGCCTCCAGTGGCGTAGCCGCGTCGCCGCTAGAGCCGCGAGTCCACCGCTAGAAGGCGGACAAGTACAAGTTCGCGAAGGTCGGAAAGGCGGAACGCAGTGGGCGCGGTCAAAACTCCGGACGCGTTTTGAGATCCAGAGTCGCTGAATGGGACTCGAACCGGACGTGTGACCCCACCAATGGATTCCTCGTTCGGAGAGGAATCCATTGGTGGGGTCACACGTTCGGTTCGAGTCCCATTTAGCGACTCTGGAGCTGGAGCTCAAAACTCGTCTTGAGTTTTCGCCGCCTCCGCCGGTCTTCTGGTCCACTGTGCGGAAGGGGGTTGGGAACTCATATAATGTTCCGGGAAAATCTTTAATTTGTCGGGGTTCTACGTGGGGTTCAAAATAGCGAAAGTGTTGGCACTGTACGAACTGGAGCGCCACTCACGACGACAGGACGGGCAGGACGGGCAGGACCTGCTTGAGGCGGAAGGGCTCGCGGTCCTTGCGGTGCATGCCGGCCATCTTGAGCACCACGCCGGCGCACAGGTCCATGGAGCGCCACTCGCGCATCTTGCGGTTGTGGATGGCGGCGGGGTTGGGCGAGTTGGGCGACACGCTGCTGACGGCGTCCCCGATGCGGCCGGCCGCGGCCTCGGGGACGAGCTGCATCACCCTGGCCAGCAGCTCGGCGTTGGTCACGCGCTCCGTCATGGTGACCGTGTGTGCCGACTGGAACTTCTGCACCAGCAGCCGGTTCACCATCTCCACCTTGCCCTTGGACGCCGGCCGGCGGTCGTTCTCGGCCACGCACTCGTACAGCGTGAGCGCCAGCACGGCCAGGCTGGTGCGCGCCGCCGCCGGCGCCCCCGGCAGGTGCAGCCCGCACACCGCCAGCACGAAGTCCACCAGGTTGGACGACGACGCCAGGGCCGGGTGCTTCACCGAGTCCTCCAGGCCCAGGGTGGACTTGGACACCACCTGCGCAGCCAACGGCCTGTCACGACGCCGAACAGTGTGCGTGGCACGGCATGGCACTCCACCTGTTCCTGCCTCCATACCTCGATGAGCTGGTCCCCGGTGACGAGCAGCAGGCTCTGCTCCTGCTCGGGCGCGAGCAGGCTCATGGTGCCGAAGGTCTGCAGCACGGTCATCGCGGACGGCCGCGGCGGGCCGCGCAGACTGCCCAGGTCACCCTGGACCAAGAATCGGAACGGAACGGAGTGGATTCCTCGTTCGGAGAGCAATCCATTGGTGGGGTCACCCGTTCGGTTCGAGTCCCATTTAGCGACCCTGGAGCTCTAAGTCCGTCCGGGATGTTGACCGCCTTGATGGCGTCGTGGCGCACCTGCGTGGCGAGCAGCACGATGGAGGCCGTGTCCCACATCTCGAGCAGGCGGCCCCCGGGTGGCGGCTGGAACACGTTGGGCCCCGTCAAGGCGCCCGGCGCCGAGCCGCCCAGCGCGCTGCGCGTGCCCTGCAGCAGCCGCGCCACGAACGACTGCGCCGCGGGCCGGGACTGCACGCCGGAGTCAAGGACGCGGGTTCAAGTACCGGCTTTCCAGTTATTTTACCGTCATTGCAGCACACTGATTTTCGAGAGTCGTCTTGTCTCTCTCGCACTCATGGCTGTGAGGTGCGAGAGAGGCAGAGCGAGGGACGCACCGATCGGCCGAGGTTCTGGAAGTTGAGGCTATTCATGATGGAGCCGAACGACTCCGGCGGCGAGGGCAGGTTGCGCTGCATGGACGCCAGGACGCACAGCGCGCCGAGGTCCACCTGCTCCGCCGGCATCTGGCTGATCTGGCTCAAGCCTACCGCCATCTCGCTCTACATTAGTCTGCCGACCGCTGGCTGCTGTCAGAGTTACCCCGCCGTTCTTACCTGTACTTACCCGCGCCCGCCTGGCCGACGCTCAGCGCGCTCTGCCGGCCTCCTTGAAGGCCTACTTGTCCTTGGGCGCTGCCTCGTGCATCTCCGCCCGCCTGGAGGCCGGCCCCTGCCTGGACACCCAGTCCAGCCCCTAAGCTGATCCCACCACCGCCAGCGCCTGCGTTCAGCCCGCCTTGCAGACCGACGCCTGCGTTCAGACCGCCTTGAACGCCGCCGCCTTTGCTCAGCCCGCCTTGAAGACCAACGCCTGCGTTCAGCCCGCCTTGAAGACTGCCACCTTTGTTCAGCCCGCCACCACCCGCGCCTGCGTTCAGCCCGCCTTGAAGACCAATGCCTGCGTTCAGCCCGCCTTGAAGTTTACCGCCACCCTCCGCGTCGCCCTGCGCCCCAGCCCCGGCCCCGGCCTGGAGGCCGATGCCGCCATGAAGACTGGCGCCGGCATGAAGGCCTGGCCCACCCAGGAGACCCGCGCTGCCCTGGACGCCGCCACCGGCATTCGCTCTGATGCCGCCCCCGCCTGCGTTGATGCCCGCGCTGCCCTGCAGGCCGCCCCCGGCTTGAAGGCCGACCCCGCCAGCTTGGACAGACCCACTTGCTTGAAAGCCTCCACCCGCCTGAAGACCGCCCCCTCCCTGAGGTTGGTATTTCGTGCCTCCTTCGGGACCGCTGCCTCCTTGAAGACCACCGCCTCCCTGAAGACCTCCACCTCCTTGAAGACCTCCACCTCCTTGAAGACCACCGCCTCCTTGAAGACCACCACCCACTTGAAGACCGCCTCCTCCCTGAAGACCTCCGCCTCCTTGAATACCACCGCCTCCTTGAATTCCGCCGCCCACTTGAAGACCGGCGCCGCCTTGAAGACCTCCGCCTCCTTGAAGTCCGCCGCCCACTTGAAGACCGGCGCTGCCTTGAAGACCTCCGCCTACTTGAAGGCTGCCGCCGCCTCCGTGAAGACGGGCACCACCTTGAAGACCTCCGTCCTCTTGGTTCGCTCCCCGGCCACCACTGTGGGCATTCGCCTCCGAGTTGGGTTCGCCGGCCCGGTGCTTGTGGTGGCCAGCCTCCTCCCCGGCCTCGCCCTGCGCACACAAGCACACGAGGGTTGCAACGGGGTCGTCGCGCAGCGGCCTCCGAGCCCCGCGAGAAGCTGTACCTTGTCGACCTTGTCGCTCTGGTGGATGGTGATGACGAGGTGGCGGTGCGAGTCCTGTGGCTGCACACAGGAATAGACAAGAAAGTTACAAAGGATGATCAGTGTTTGCCACGCAAGTACTACGCAAAAGTTGCAGGGAGGCCGCCGTGTCGAAAGGGTTGCCTACCTTCCTGCGAGAAGCTGCCTAGTAGGCAGGCGGAAGTTGACAACCCTTTCGACTCTGGAAGCATCGGGGTGACCTTTGCCTACTCAAGCGGCAACACTGAAAAGTTGGCGCATGCTGCCTGAAATCTGGAAAAGCCAACACTCGCCTGTTTCTGTTGGTCCATCCGGGCGGAGGGCCCCGAGAGCGGGGGGCGGGCGGGCGGTGGGGGCGGGGCGGGGGGCGGGGAGGGCTTCTTCCGGGCGCTGGGGGCGGGCTGGACCTGGGTCGAGTCGCTGGGCGCCGCCTTGGCCTGGCTGTCGTGCTTCAGCACCAGCACCACGCGGTTGCCCGCGGTGCTCGCCGTCAGCGTGGCCAGCGAGGCCAGCACGGCCAGCGCCAGCGCCGCCACACCGCGGCCCGCCATCTGCGGGGACCAAGCGTGTGCCCGCTAGAGTTGCCACTTCGCACATGTGTCGGTAGGGTTGCCACCTCAGCCTGCCTACCAGCCAGTAACTGAGCTTTGCTCCAGAGAAGTTGCCTAGCAGGCAGGCTGAGGTTGACAACCATCTCGACATTGGAGGGTCGTGGGCCTTTTTGCCTACTTGTGTCGCAGCACTGCATCGTTTTCTGAAATTACAGGTTCGTGTTGGCTTACCTCGTTGAGATTTGATGAGGGGCCTGGCGGGGCAGGCAGGCGGCCCGCGCGAAAGGCTTCGCGGCTGCGCGGCCGGGGGCTCGCTCGGCCCGCGCCGCTTTACTGCCCCGATATCACACACACATACAAGCACGTGCACCCACACGGACGCACACAGACACACGTTCACTCGCACAGACGCACACACTCGCACGTGACTCTGTGGAACGTAGGTGGAATGAAAAAGCTTTTCGATAGGCAGTCCGCCCGCGCCGCCCGGGAGTTCCCTGTTCCTCTCAGAGGTCGGTTTGGCGCGACAGTTCGAATCCGGTCGAGCGACAGAGAGGTTCCCAGTGGGCCACGAAGAATTTCCTGATTCCCTGTGTCGTGTGCCATCCCCCAGTTCTCGTAGAGGACAAGAACCTGTTCCATCAATTTTCAGCTCGGTTTTCCTGCCCGCTCTATTTCTCATACGCCTAGGGCTAGCCTCTCTCAGGTCCGGCCTTCCCTTCCCCTTCCCCGCCCCCTGCCCCCTCCCCCTCCGTCCCATGTGCGCGAAACGGAAATCAATAACACAGGCTCTGAAAATTGTCTGCTAGATTTGGTGTCAGAGACACCAATCTAGTTTGATTTTTAACAAATGGGTCCAAATGAGATGTGGAATGTGGTCACTTGTCTGATAATCATCGGCTCTAAGTATGTGTCATGTGATAATCCGCTGCCCGACTTGGAGACGTAAGTATGCGGGCAGGCTCAGGTGTGTCGGTGACATTAAGGTGGTTCTTAAAATCGTAACTTAACACTTTGAATGGCATTGTTTGTTACTTTTGCTTTGGTGTCAATCGACTTGATTTACTGCTTGCTGTTCAAGGCCTCCGGGTCATGTGACATTATTGAGGTTATATAATCGTGTGCTTTGCCAGTTATGAACTTGGCTAGCAGACCGTTTCCACTCGCTCCTTGTTGACATCAATGGTCTGATTGCTTAATTGACAGGTTATCACAGCTTTCTTCCAATTTGGAGAAAAATTTGATGGCCTCCCTCTCTCACATCTTGAAAACAAGTACTGCTGTGGAGGTATGTCGTGTACTTTTTCTCCCGTCAGTTTTGCAAGGCTCTAGTCTGAACTTTGTTTGTCACTATTCTCATCCTTGCTGATGTCCTGGTATCCTTTTGTTACACAGGCTTACTCAAGTGCCCGAAACATGGACTTGGTATCAGTTAATGGGACCAAAGTTATAGATGAAGTAATTTCCAAAGCAAATGAATTTCTTGGGAAGAAAGAACAGGCACTGCAGGTAAGCAATTGCACAGTTTTCTATCAAATTTTCCTTGTTTTTCTGTTTCTGATTTCTATTAACTTCTATGTTATGTAGCGCTTGTATGATGCAGCCAAAGATGCCGAAGAAAGTTATGAAGAAGATTTGACGTTGACACTCCGTCGGGTACAATTTTTCAATGTGAAAGGAACTGAAGCAGAAGAGGATGGAGCTTTGATCTACGCTCCAACATTTGGGCAGAATGTTTCCTTGAATAGCTCTGGAGTGCACATTCCTCTCGAAATCTTTGAAGGATGTAAGTAAACAGAAGTTATTTATAGATGTTTTTTCTTCTTCTCACAACATCATTCCAATTTCTTGAAATCATATCGTGACATTTTCTTGTTGCCATTTGTTTTAAATTTCAAATTTAGTACCTATGCAAAGATTCAGTAACAAAAAGATGCATCTATTTCATTTTCATATTGGGTCTGGGTTTTGCTTGCTCATTTCACAATTTTACAATGTGTATCTTCTTTTGCTTTGTGGTGCATGTCAGACATTTGTTATTCTGTATATAAGCAGAAACTGAAGCTGCATTTGTGTTTTGGGCCACTGTAGCAGACTTATAATTTTATTTATGTTCATATATTTGAGAAGCTCTTATGCCATACTGTGAAACATTTCACAAAAACTAAATTTATGGTCAAGGAAAATTCAATTTCTATTTACAGATATACTTGTTTGGTCTACTATATTGTTCCCAGATCAAATAGTCTGTTGTTTAAAGTGCATTTAAAATTTAATAAGACTCTTTAGAGCTAATATTTAATCCAGAGCACTTTAAAAATATAAGAATATTTGATGCTGTTATGTGTTTCATTCTCAATTTAATTGTTCTCATTGTGTAGGAGCACAGTTCTTACTGTATCTATCAAAACTCCACTTTCTTAAATATTTTATGGCACTTTGCATGCCGAATGAAATGACAATTTGTGTCCTATTCACGTATTGTCTTATGAATCGATCCGTTGAAACAAGATGTTTTGCCCGAGCATTATTCGTCTTGCTTAATCTTATCGGCACACCTCACCATACTGAATGTTGAAACTTGGAAAGTCTGCCAGTCTTGTGCATGTGTTGTCCCACAGGCATAAAGATCTCCCTTAATCACAGCTCAAGACACGAGGCGGTGGCACAGGAATGACGATGTGAGTGGGGTGTTTTTTAGGACACAACCATGCCCGGTGCATAGCCACCAGCATAGCGCGCGCCGCGGGGAAGGGAGGCGCCGAGCTGCCTAAGGGAGACGGCTGCCCAAAGCGGGCTCCGTCCTTTACTCCCGCTCCTAGCATCTCACGGAAGGGCCGGCGTACGTAGGGAACACCAGCATGATGCAAACTGTTTGACCACATTCGGTGCCTGTTCCAACTGATTGACTAGTGCTGACTTCTACATTTCGAGGAGCAGTGTTTGGTTTGGCTTCAGAGTTGTCTGTCTCTTTCCAGTTCTGACTCACTCCCATTCTAGCTTTGTAGTTAAATATTCAATGTGTTAGCGGCCACCTGCTTTGATTTTTTCACTGGTCCTTGTTTGGATCCTGGGTGATCACTTGGCAGCTCTGAAAGCAAACCAAACCTGGCGTTTTTGTGTGTGTTAGGGCCAGGGCATGCATGGCCATAGAAGACCAAGAAAACTTTCTGACCTTGCATTGTTATTTGTTATAGCAAACATGACTCCTAGCTTCCCTTTCCTTTTACTGTGTGTGTCATCTCTAGAGAATAGAAACACCAGAAGAGACTGACCAAAGAAATTGTGGGTCTGGAGTTCTTGAACTGCATCTTCATAGATCATGATCAAGTACGTAGATGGTAGATGGATGAGAATGGGTGGATGCCATTTCAGCATGTTATGTTTTTTCTTCAAGTACTTTGCATTTGCATTATTATGATAGGAGAGAATGTTAATACAGTTCAGATTCCAAGTATATTATTCACTTGATTAAAAATTTGACAGTCCAGAGGTGACAGAAACTGGGGTTTCATTCATTTTACTATATGTTGCTGAAAATCTTCAAAATTTCTGAGACTGCAGCAGATAAAGTGCTGCTTCAATGTAAAAGTCAGCATAATTAAGTGTTGATCTGATTTATGCACTATAAATTAAATTAATTGATAATGTATAAAGCAGGTACCAATGTGTATAAATTTTGTGTTAGAGTGTGTGAAATCAGCATAAGTTCGCTCCGTGAGCTCCCTTAGCATTGAGAATCAGATTGCTTTTGCTTTTTGTGAAAATTTTCTTTATAAAAGCAGCAAAGCTGGGGAAGAAGGATTAAAGGACAGGAATTGTATAAAGCCCATTTTCTAAAAATTATTTACTCTCTCAGCCTAAGAGCCTTCTCAGGACACACCAAATGACTTTCAAATTGAAAGCAGGAAAGTGAGAAAAGTGGTGTGATTCTCTTCTACAAATAGCCCGTTTTTATAGCGTAGGATTCACTGAGGTGTGAATTTGTTTGACTTGCAGCATCCTTGCAAGTTTGGACAGCTCTCAGTTTGTTTTGCATTCTTTTTTCAAATTTTTAGGTACTGTAGTTCTTAAGTGTTTGTGTGTTGTGCTGGCTTAATGTCCTCATAAGATGATATTTTCTCTCTTTTTCTGCCATCTTTACCTTTGCTTTCATTCATCATAGAGGTAATCTGAAGAAGGAAATGTCATCTTTGCATTTGTAGGAGTTAAAATTGTGTTTTCTCTTTGCTGTGTGCGATTGTTGAACTATTTTTCATTGTGTTTCTGTGGTTTACTGGTTACAGTACTTCACTTAGAGTGGTGTTGTCTTGTTTGTGTAGAGCACTTTTGTTTGGTGTGTTTTGGTCATAGGCTTTGAAAGTTGCTATTCCAGTAGAATACTGTCAAAATTCTTAGTTAATCTAAGATTTCCAGGCTTTTGCTTTTCTTTAAATTTGCGCTCTATTAAGAATTTGGAAAGCAGTTCTGATATTGGAAAGCAAGTGTTTAAAGCCAGACTTTGAAGTGAATGTTTGCTTGCTGTGGTTTTGAACCAGAGTGTGACATGCAACATGGCATGCGTCCATCTCCTTCATTCCTTGTTGGCAGGATTTATTTCATCTGAGTGTGGAATGTCTCAGTGACATTAAAATTCTTTGGAAGTATGTACATAGATGTGGCACTTTGAGCTAGGCACACATCTGACATTATTTAAATTCTACTTGTAGTCAAGAAAAAGCATCTCAACTTCAATTGAAAAGAACTTTCAAGACTATCTCAATCCAAGTTTCCATTTTTTAAAAATCACCTCTGGTGCCATAGTTTGTTTTCACAAACTCTTTCATGCTGCAATCGACTCCACACACCTTTTTTTCTCTTTGTTTTTTTTTTGTCCTTGTTCTGATTGTGTTTTCACAGAGTCTCAGAGTCAGTGACTACAGTAAAAAATTAGTTGTGATGCACAGCCATAGTTTACCCCCATGTTTCTTTACTATCTTGGAGAGGGGAGCAGTCTCAAAATGGCACGATGCTACAACTTGACGGTCTCCAAGCACAATATCTGACCAATTTTTTGTTTTAGGGATGGGATCTCTCTTCAAACTGGTTTGGGGTCATGGTATGTGAATCAAAGTGTTAATTCATTCAGATCTGCCTCGAATTGCAATGCCTTGGCTTGGCATTGCTTGGCATGCACAGCTCAATTGTACAGATTGTGTAGGTTTTCTTTCATTCATCATCACTAAAGAAAAAAGAATGAGTGCCTCTTGCTGAGCTTTTAGGGCTTCCATTATACTACCAGAGTTGAGCATTATCTTTCAGGGCCAAGTCCCAGCAAATCTTGTGAAGTTCTTCTTTTCCTATTTGTTTGAAGTATCTAGATCACTTCTATGGCTTTCTCATAATTTTCCACAAAGCTACACAAGAATTATAACAGCAAGATAAAATTCTTCAGTAAAATTCATACACTGTAGTTAGTCTAGTACATTTGCACTCATTGCTTATTTGTACGTAATATTTTCTATTGCACACTTTGCAAACCAAGGACCACAGTCATTTTCTGAAAAGAAAGTGTCTTGTGACGGAGTTATTTTAACTTATTATGTAGGGTGGGGCGTTTCTTATCTTGCTTATGTAAACCCCTGTTTTCAAGTGAACCTTAAAGTAATGATTCACATATTAATCCCCATGGGTTTTAAACAATGAGATTTTTATGTTATGATAGTTAATGAGCTTAGTGACTAAACAAAGCCACTTATGTGGAGAAACAAGGAATACATAATTGGATAAGATGGCAGGTTGATTACACACTTTGATTTTCCCACTCAAGATTTATTAAAGATCCCCCCTCCCCCTCCCCTCTTTGCCCAAACATCATGGATAGTTCTGATGTCTCACCCCCTTGCTTGCTAGAGATGCACGTGTTGCATTTATTGTAGACCAATCTTAAACAAATCATTTGTTGAAATTTTGCTTTTGTTTAAAAAGTGGCTGTTGTATTTTTCAGAAGTTACTTTATCATAAGATCATTACCTTTATATGGTAACTGAGGTATGTATGGATATAATTTTTCATGGGTACATCATCGCATTCCTTCTGTCTTAAAGTTTCTTTTGAAAGGTGATACCAACCATAAATCCAATCCTAATCCAAGATGCTTATCACACTCATGTGGTTGCATCTCAACAGTTAAACATCATTTCTCCAAACATAAATTTTTTAATTAAAAATAATTTAATAATAACAAAAATTGTAGATTTGATTAAGGAAGCTATTTTCAAAACTTTTCAAGATGGATCACTTGGTTTTTTATCCTGCTTTCAGATCCAGAAATCCTCAATGGATTGCGGTGGAGTGCAGCCTTAGACAGAGTTTTTACTAAAAACTTTGAGGAAGATCCTACGCTACGCTGGCAGTATTTTGGCAGTGCACGGGGCTTCATGCGTATCTATCCTGCCCTTCGGTGTGTCCCTTTTCATGCACCAAAGTCATAATAGCTTCTTATTCTCTACATAAGACCTTCTAACATTCGTATAAAATTTCAGGTGGCCTGAAAATCTAAACCCACCAGATTTGTATGATGTTCGCAGAAGACCATGGTACATTCACAGTATTTCATCACCCAAAGATATCATAATCCTCATTGACAAGTAATGCATCAACAAATAGCTGACAGTTAAATGTAATTTTTTTCTTTTTAATATTTTTGAAGAAATATCTATTTTTGTGTTATTGCAGAAGTGGGAGTGTTCATGGACAAACAATTGATATTATGAAGATAGCTGTAAAGGCTCTGATTAAGACCCTTTCTGAAGATGATTATGTTAATGTGGCATGGGTAGGTGCCTGTTAAATTGCTAGAATAAGTAAATATATTGTTTCTTTTGGGACATCACCGATACCTCGTTTTCAGTTCAACAATGAAGTAAACTGGGTTGTCCCGTGCTTGGACAGCCTTGTTCCTGCCACTAGTCAAAACAAACGGGTTTTGTTGGATGCAGTGGACCGCCTCCATGAGAGCAATCTTACTAGTTATGAAACTGCTCTTGAGTTTGCTTATGACGCATTTCAGAGGGTCAGTATTTGCTGTTTGTTTTGCTGATGTTTGTCCTTAAATATTCCAGCTCCAGCATGGGCATTGGAGTTTTGGTTCTAGACAAGGACTGTTAAGCACTGCAATAGAGCATTGCACCTAAATGTTCCTTTTCATAATGATAACAGATTTCTTTTTGCATATTTGTGAGACTTGGTTGTTTTACTTTTATTTGGTTCTGCAATGAAACCTATTCAATTACTGGCAATCTTTAGTTTTGTCTTGCATGTTTGTAGCACTGTAGCTAGCTTATATAATTCACTTTATTTTACCATTTCAATTCCTTTTTTTTTTTTTCGTTTATGTTGCTTTAGATTCTGTGTCGTGTGCATGTCAAATAGCATCGAGTCCTCACTCTAGCCAGGGCCTAGTGCATGAATGTATCAGATGGTGCACATTTACTTGCTGTTATTGGTCCTCACCGCCAAAATAAGGTATGGCATTTGTTAAACTTAAAAAATATTGTTTGGTTCCCTTGTAATAGAAGCCTTTTACTTTCTCAGTGCTTAATCATTTTATTTTGTGCAGTTTTCTGAAAGCCGAGAACCTTGGGAGGGAGCCAACTGCCATAAGGCAATAATGTTCTTCAGCGACGGTGGAACAGAGTGGCCGCACGAGCTCAGTGCTCATCTGTGCAATGAATCGACTGAAGATTGCGTCAGGGTGTTCACTTTTGGCTGTGGGCCTCACCCCATTCCTACAGTGATCCTCAAGAGCATGGCCTGCAAAACACGAGGATATTTCAGCAGTATTACGGCTTTGGGTGCTATTCAAAATCGGATTCAGGTAGTAAAAAGAATTTTAAGCAGAACATTCTGTTGTTATAGCAAATTTTAAATTAAATTTTAAATTGACAGGATTATGTCAGAGTCTTAGGACGTCCATTGGTTTTATCTGATGAAGGAACCAAAGATTTGTTTCACTGGCACAATGTATACATTGACAAAGGAGTGAGTTTCTTCTAGAACCATTTCACTTGGTCTTTCTTTGTGGTTCCTATTTTTAATGTGTATATTTTGTATCTCAGGGTCTAGGACCTGTTGTCACTGTAACTCTGCCAGTCGGAAGTACATCATATGATGTGGTGAGTGTCTCCATAAAGTGATGGTTTTAGCCTAAATCCATATGCGTGCTTTACAAAGGATGTCTCGTTTCTTCCAGCGTGATCCACTGCTCCTAGGTGTAGTTGGTACTGACATACCCACCAGTGATCTGGAGGACCTCTATCCCAAAAACTTATTGGGAGCATTTGGATATCCTTATGCTATTAACAACAATGGTTTTATCGTTTTCCACCCTCAATTGCATCATCACATGTCTTATCTGCAGGTACAATTTGGATGTTCTGCTCTATTGCTTTTTCTGTGCTTTGTTCTCGATGTGATTCTCACTATTTTCTGTGACAGGGAGAAGATCCACCTAATATTGACTTGACTGAAGCAGAGGGATCTGATTGGGTGATCTTGGAAGCAATGCGAGAAGCCATGGTACGGGGACATTCTGGTCATGCAACTCATGAGAAAGCTATCATTCCAGTAGGGCAGGGACGTGCTGTACTTGTGTCTATGAACCACTTTTATGGTGCATTAAAAACTTCCAATTTTAGGTAATAGTTCAAGCTAGTAATTTCCTGGTGTTTATTTTCTTTAGCCTGATAAAATTATTACTCGTATGGTTTGTTACTGTTCTAGAATGGGTCTGGCTTTACCTCTTGGTCATGCTACCATAAATGTTCAAAATGTGCCTCTAAAAGTAGATCACCTTGCCGGCCTACGCAACCTCCCAGGTTCTTTGCTGGCCCCTTGGAAGTTCTGCAGTGAAATTGAAAATAGCCTAGACTCTCAGGAACTTATTGAGGTGTTGCTTATGTCCCTCACGGAAAAACAGCATAAATGTAGGTGGTTTTATTGCATATTTTATTCCCAATCATGAAAATATCCTTGGAGTGCTATGTGTAATATGCCTTGCTAATGCAGGTAATGTTGGCATGCTGCGACACTTACTAATGGACATGGACAAGACTCGGGCCTTAATCTCTGAATGGGAGAAGACTAGCCCTGAAGTCCAGAATATTCGAAGCCGTTTTTTCAGTACCGAGGGTGGTCTTACTGTTGTTCATCCTGTTAGGTAGGAAAAACTGAAAATTGTTGTCCTTTCTTAACTTTTAAATGTGTCCACTCCTCTTGCTAAAGTTTCATTTTACCTTGTGCAGCCGCTTAGCAGATTATGAAGGAAATCGGAACCCCCATAAGAACCATCAGTATTTAAGAGCTTTGGCTCGTGATCACTGTGTGTTCACTCCAAGCCAACGGGATGGAGAAGACAACACTCAAATTAATTTGCTATCCATCGCATGTCCTGTTCAGTTTCAAAAAGGAAACAGTGTTATAAAAGTTGGGGGTATGTTTAATATGGCTCAGTGTTAATTACATTTTTTTTTTTGTTAGTAACATTGCTTAATAATTCAATTTATTGTTGGTTTTTGTTTGATGATAGTTGCTGGAGTGGAACTGGATCAATCAATGGCTCAGACTGAATTTAACAGAATCTTGCAGTTTTATTGTGCTGATAATGAAACTCTTCATTGCTACATGCTTGATGATAATGGCTTCATTGTCTCATCAAATCTACCAAGAATTCAGGTAAATCGCTGGTTTCAGGATCTAAACCTTGTACACTCTTGTGTTTTGATGGTTCTCAAGCAATGACTTCTTCCAAATAGGCTGGTGATTTTATTGGTCAAGTGGACCCCCAACTGGCTGGTAGTTTGATTGATGGTGGATTTTATCGACACCAAGAGCGGTTCAATCTTCAGGCTTGGTGCTTGCGAGGTGCAAGTGAACCTACTCAGTCTGCTTCTAGATTAACTACTCCTTTCTTATTTCTTATTAAAAACATTTGGAGTGCTCTGTCCAGTTTCCATGTCATCATTCACAGGTATGTATCTCTTGCTGCCCATTTTTTAAAAACATACAATTTTTTTTTAGTAACAATCTCTCTTTGTTTGCTTTAGTATCATTTCATGGACAAGGCCAGCGCCAGTGGAGTCATTCTATGGATGGGAGCTGATACGGCGTAACTACAGCTGCATTACAAAGGCATCGTGGCTTGTTATGAGCAACAGCCTGTCCCGACCCATGGACCACCATTTCAGATGTGGAGATTGTTCTCGAATCATTTATGCCAATCCCATGAACTTGCTTAGCGCAGTGCTAGTCGTCTCTGAACCTCCGTGTGATTGTGCTGAACCAGCTTTCCCCATTTCCTTTTTTCCCCAAGAAGGTACATTTCTTTCCTGAAGGATTTTACTTGTTTGAAACTTTTATCCAAAGATAAGGTTGATACATAAATTATATTGTTTGTTTTTCTTTCAGATGCTGGTCCAGACTACTGCAGCCGTCAGAAAGTTGTAAGAGAACGCAAGCACAGGTGTTACAGCTATACCAAAAATGTAGGTATTGATCTTGGTCTGCTTGGTGGGCCACCATGGTTTACCCTAAAATTGTATCTTGATCTGAAAACATTTTCCTTTTTTGTTTTCTTCAAGGAAAACGGAACTACCTGTTACCCAGGCGATTTTCCCAAAGACGGAGTTTCTGCACCAAGAATTTCCTGGGTCCTTCTTTGGACTATGATTTGTTTCCTGAAAGCTTTCTCCTAAATTCAACTTGTACTAATGATTCGGTCCTTCCATAACACAATTGAATCTTCCTTGTTAAAAAATACTGATGGATTTTATTTGTTTCATTCTCTGATCAAATTTCATGCTCACTCGCAGCTAATTAGGGAATTAAAATCAGAGCTCCAAAGACTTCTATGTTTGGTCGTTGAAACACTTGAATCTCTAGACTGTAGTGTTTTGCTGAATTAATGGACCTCTCAACTAACTCACCAGTTTTCTAATGTAGTTGAGGTATGAGATTGATGCACTGAGATGTTAGTTTTAAGTATGATGTAGTCTACAGATACAGGGTCCAAAGATTTTTAACTGTTAATGCTAATTGAAAAGTTATTTTACCAACTTTAAATCTTTGTTGTTTGATGTAGTTTAGTTTTCTATCTTGTTTAGTCAAATTTACTAATGATTCAAGTCCTTATCTTTTATAGAATGAAAGAAACTGCTTTGTTATCTGTTGCCTCTTATTTAGGAGCTTGCATTGGTGCTCACTACTGCTGCTTGTGCTCAAAGTAATAGTAGACTATGAAATTGAAGTCTTGTTAATGTGATGAATTGGAAAGACACTTGTTATAAATTGAATTTGTTATCCTAATTTTAAGAGCTTTCATAAATTTGGGCTGTTTGAATTCAAACCATGCCTAGAATATTGTGATAACGTGTTTTGTGGATATTAACTGAAACATCAACTTGAGAATCCTCCTCAGCTCAGAAATGTCGGAGAAATATCATTGCTGTTAGCTCATGTGATACTGGTTGCAAATGGCTGAGTTTGTATAGTTTTTTTAAAATGTGATCATGTCTAGCCAGGGTTTCATAGCATCGTTATCAAGTGTGAAAATTTTCTAGTTCATTAGGCCAACTGTCATTTACCATCTATCTTCTCTTCTGTGTGGTGTATAACCCTGTCTTACTAGCAGTATTATTTCCTCTACATGTATGCATTTAAATTGGATTACTTTATAATCACACTTGCTAGTTGTCATGGAAAAAGCACAAAAGAAATCTGAGTAGACTGAATAAGTAGGAGGATTTTTGTACAAAAACAATAAAAAAAAGTTACAAGAAACATCAGTTTATTGCATTTAAAAGCGTGTACACTAGAAAGAGTACAACTGGGTATAACTATTTGTACTTTCGAAACTTGGGACTAGTACAAAACTAAAAACTTCATTAAAATAAATATGAGGGGGAACATGAGTTCAAAATTAAATAAGTAAACACATATAAATAAGAGATCACCATCATTGAATGACATTTCACCATGAGAAATACCATCTTGAAGACTTGGTCTCTCGAACACGTGTCATCCCAAAGTCTCGACAAAGTCACACGTAAGAATTAAATCATCAATCAGAAAATCATCAGAGAAAATAACATTAACAGGTCCCCCTCTTAAAATGCTTCCATAAGCGAATCACAACACAATAACAAATTCAGCGTACATCATAAAATGACTAATACGTGGATTGTGGTTCTGAACTAAAAATAGAGAAAGTTTGAAGCAATCTGTCAATAATAATAAAACACATAAGAGCATAGCGAAACCCACACTGAGAGTGAACTCGTCAGCAAGTAACTGATACGACACACCAGAACAGTCCGAAGGTATCACAGGCATGCACGTTGCTAGGAGGACAGTCTACAGCGCCTGCTGCAGATCGTTGAGGACTGCCACCGCCACCTCGTCTTCCGTCCTGCTGTCGTCGGCCTCCCCGTCTCCATCTTCCTCCTGGCCTTCCCTCTCGTGGAACGCGGAGTGCATCCGGAGGTCGTAGCCGCGTCGGAACTTGCGGTCGCAGCCGGGCAGGGTGCAGGGGTGGGGGAACGAGTTGGTGTGGATCATCTCGTGCATCTTGAGCGTGCTCAAGGTGGCGAAGTCCCTGGAGCAGGTGATGCAGAGGTAGGGGCGCTCTCCAGTGTGCGTGCGCCTGTGGACGTCAATGCAGCCCTTCCAGGCGAAGCGCCGCCCGCAGTCGCCGCACTGGTAGGGCTTGAAGCCAGTGTGCACGCGGCTGTGCGTCACCAGGTACTCGCGCCGGGCGAACACCTTCTCGCACTGGTCGCAGGGGTAGGGCCGCTCGTTGCGGTGCACCATCAAGTAGTGGGCCTCCATCGTCTCCCGGATGACGTAGCCGCGGCCGCAGTCCGGACACACGTAGGGCTTGGTCACGGGGTGCTCCTCGTTGGAGTGCCTCGTCAGGAGGTTCACGTGGGTGAACCGCTGGGGGCACTGCTTGCAGGCGAACCTGTACGCGTTGCCTTCCGCGCCGCCCGCCTCCTGGGGCTGCTGCAGGTCCTGCTGCTGCTCTTCCTGGGCCTGCCGGTGCAGCTGCTGCATCTGCTGAGCCCGCTGCTGCAGCTGCTGCTGGATCTGCTGGTGGACGTGCTGCTGCAGCTGCTGCCTCTGCTGGGCTTGCTGCTGCTGCAGGATCTGCTGCTGCAACTGCTGCATGCGCTGGGCCTGCACCTGCAGCTGCCCCGGTGCAACTTGCTGGCCTTGCTGGGCTTGCTGGCGCTGCTGCAGCAGTTCCACCTGCTGCTGGCGCACGGGGTCGAGCTGCGGGGAGTTGGGGCCGCCGGCGTCCTGGGGCCCTCCAGCGGCGGCGACCTGCACGCGCAGCGCCAGGCGGTGCATCAGGGTCTGGCCGGGGTGCACGGGCGCGGGCGCGTTGGGGTTGGCCAGGACCAGGGGCTGCATGTCGTCCTCGGAGTCCAGCCGCGGCGACAGCGGCGTCGCCAGGGCGCTCTCGGCGCTCTCGTAGTCGGAGTGGCCGGAGCCGTCGTCGCTCGACAGGGACTCGTCGCGGCGAGACATGGTGCTGCAACAGGTGGAACGGGGCCGTTAGCAAGGAGGCGCGCTGGGAGTCCTCTTCGTCGCTCTGTCTCTCTCGCATCTCCGCGGGGCGCCCCATGAGTGCGAGAGAGGCAGAGCGACGAAAACGACTCTCGGCTTCATTCTGCTCAAGTCACATTCATAGACGCTTCAAACAGAAATCACACTCAGATTGTCGTCTCGGGGAGAGAGAGAGAGAGAGAGGGAATGCACGGCGCGAGACGGAAGACAGACGGACGCGGCGGCGCGGCGCGGCGTCCCCAGCGACAACAGCCCGGCCTATTATAGGCCCGGCTGCAGCGGCCCGCGCGCCGTTGGCGGGAACACCACCCCGCCGCGAGAGGGGAAGGAGGGGAGGGGGACGCGGGGGGTGAACAGTGAACAGGACCTAACCTGTTGCCGGGGCCGAGATTCAGCAGAGGCAACTAGAAATCTCAAGCGAAATCGCGACGTGACCACCACAGGCAGGCCCGGGGAAAGCAAGCGAACACCAAAACAACCCCCCGGGAGCCCCCGGTCGACTCCTCGCCACCGGCAAAACCAAAACAAACCGGAACGCGGCACTCGCTCGGCTTCACCGCGAAGGGACGCGACGAAAATTGGCACTCGGTGTTCGGACTTGGCGTTGAGCACTTGGACGGGTCGGTTCGCGGTCGGAAACGCCAACGGCGAGCCGGGAAAGCTTGCCGACGGTGACGCTCTAACCACACAGTGAACGCCCGGTCACTGGTCGCACCAAAAGCAGTCGTCAATCACTGCTTGAAACGAGCACAGCCGAGTGAAAATTCAGGGGGGCAGTTAACCAGTTCACTAGAGCAACGACGCTCGGTTTGCAACAAAGCACTGATTTCAACAAAGCCAGGACACTGCCATGGCAGAGGTCAGCAACCGACGGCCTGCGGTTTTCGCGTCCTAACGAGGAAACGCACACGATTTTCCAGCGCGGCGACAGGGGCACACTTCCAGGGCACTCTCTTACCTGATGTTTGTTGAAATTGGTCCAAGACAGTCCAGAAATTGGCTAAAAATGGAGCCGGCTCCACTTGGCGGGAACTTCGGCGGCGCGGCGACACCAAGAGTGTGTTGTCAGTGACGGACGGAGACCGAATGACGACAAGTGAAACAAAAGCGGGGAGGGCGGTGCGGCGGCGGTAGCGGGTAGCGCCCGAGGGGTGGGGGGGGGGAGGGCGGTTCGGCGCGCTTCGGCTCTAGTTCGGCGAGGTTCGCGGCGTTCGGCAGCGTTCGGCTCGACGCGGGGAAGGACATTTCTGCACTTCGGCGGCACTTCGGGCGCTCGGGAGGCGGACGCCGTCCTTCGGGTCCCTCGGGGTGAGTATGAGAACCGCTGGGGGCGGAAACATCTCGTCGTTTGAACGGCTCTTCGAAGCGTGTGACCCCACCAATGGATTCCTCGTTCGGAGAGCAATCCATTGGCGGGGTCACACGTGCGATTCGAGGCCTGCTTAGCGACTCTGGAGCTCAAAACGCGTCAAGAGTTTTGGCCGCCTCCGCCGGTCTTCTGGCCCAATGCGCGGCGCTCCCCTCAGAGAGCTCAGTTTTATACAAAATCTTGGCGCCACTGCATCACCCACACTGTAGGGGCGCAGTCCGACACCGTAGCAGGGTGGCTTCTGTGGGTACCGCACTCGGTGCGGCGGGCGGCACCAGCCGTCAGGTGCGAGAGAGACAGAAGTTCCGCGAAGGCGCGCCGCTACAATGTCGGTCCGCCTCCACCGTCTCAGCTGTCAGTCAGCTGAGCGGTCCGCACCGCGCGAGGGCGAGCAAGCACGAGCAAGCCAAAACCAAAACAGGAAAACAGCCATAAACCCGGGGACCTTGGCGACAAAGTCCATTCGGGGTGGACGCCGCCGCCGGTGCCAGGACGGCCAGGGCCAGGACGGCCGGCCGGGTCCGGCACCAGATGTTGGGTCGGGTGCCCTTTCACAGAAATATTCGCCGATGGCCGGTGCACCGTGGCAGTGCGCTGACGCACTTGCTGGCGACACAATGCAGCCATGTGGCCGCGGCGCCGCCTGGACATCCCGGCCATCTCGGACCCTCGGACACGGCGCCGCCACGCCGCCACGCTCCGCACAGTGGGCCAGAAGACCGGTGGAGGCGGCCAAAACTCCAGACGCGTTTTGAGCTCCACAGTCGCTATAAATAGGACTCGAACCGAGCGTGTGACCCCACCAATAAATTCCTCGTTCGGAGAGCAGTCCATTGGTGGGGTCACACGTTCGGTTCGAGTCTCATTTAGCGACGCTGGACCTCAAAACGCGTCTAGAATTTTGACCGCCTCCACCGGTCCTGGCCTACTGTACCCCGCTCAGTGGCGGATCCGCGGACGGACTCGCGGCCTCGCGGCAGTGGGACTGCTTCTCCGCGCCGAACGGCCGAACTCGTGTTGAACCGGTGAGGAGGCGGCAAACTCTCGCCCCTTGCCCCTTTGTGGGGTCGCACGCTCGGTTCGAGTTCCTTTTAGCGACTCTGGAGTCCGGAGCTCAAATAAGAGTTTTGGTCGCCTGCGTCGGTCATCAGGCGAACTGTGCAGGCCTGGATCTACATTGGCTTCGATTTCTGGCCCTCTTCTTTTTCCTCCCTCTTCAAGGGAAGGAAGCAGAATGGGTTGCCTAAGTCACTGGCGGCAGGCAACGTCTGATGTGTTGCCTACCTCGCGGGCGCGTCACCGTGCCGGATGGGTTGCCTATCTCGTCGGCACTCCGTCGCGTCGGAAGGGTTGCCTACCTCGCGGGCGCTACACTGTGGCGGAAGGGTTGCCTGCAGTGCCGGCGCCCATATGCTGTGCTTTCGGAAGCAGACTCGCAGCCCGCGTGTGTTGGACGTCGTTTTCGGATCGCAGTATCGCACCGGGAAAGAAAGGCCCCTGATAAATGCCACGAAGTGATCGAAGCCGAACACTAGCTTCTGGTACGAGTGGCCACCGCCACCAGTGCCAGACGAGCTACGTAAATGGAGAAGGATGGACCTTCTTCTGTAGGTTCAAATCGTGGTCCTCCCGAAAACTATGAGTCCGAAACTTGTTTTTCCAGTGGCGGTGCCGCTGGCGGCGGTGGGCCTTGTGTGCCTACACTGCATGAGGCACGTCCCGTGCGTTCAATTCCCCCAATCCCAATCCAGGTGGCATTCCGAGGCGTGACTCGGAGGCGAGAGCTCGGTGGCTCTGTCTCTCTCGCACCTCCGCGGCGCACCCCTTGAGTGCGAGCGAGAGAGACGAGGCGCTGCCCCGGTGCCACAGTGGGCCAGAAGGCCGGCGCCGGCGACCAAAATGCAAGACGCGTTTTAAGCTCCAGAGTCGCATATCGGGACTCGAACTGACCATGTGACCCCACCAATGGATTCCTCGTTCGGAGAGCAATCCATTGGTGGGGTCACACGTTCGGTTCGAGTCCCATTTAGCGACTGTGGAGCTCCGAACGCGTCAGGGATTTTGACCGCCTCCACCGGTCTTCTGGCCCACTGTGGGTGCCCCAGCGTGCCCCAGCGAGGCGAGTGTAGGGGCATTCGTGTAAGTCCTTTGTCAGACCACCGCGGGGCGCTGCGAGTGCGAGGCGCTGCGCACGCTGCGCCGCACCGCGTCGGAATGATTTATATGGAAATATTACAGCCGGATTGGTGCGGGGGAGGGGGAGGGGGATGGGCAGGTGAAGGGGTGGCGGCTTGGGCGCGCCGTGCCTGCCTGCCTGATGGGGACCGGCCGTAAAGCCCAATGCCCCACCACACTGCGAACCGGATGCTCGCTTTCGGCCATCGATCGACGATCTATATCGATTTGCGGGGAAGCCCGGTTACAGTGCAGTTGCAGGTGACCACGACACCTGGGCTCACGGTCACACTTGGTTATTTGCGGCTGCACCACCGCTCTGCGGCCTAAACGCGTTTTGAGCTCCAGAGCCGCTAAATGGGACTCGAACCGAACGTGTGACCCCACCAATGGATTGATCTCCGAACGAGGAGTCCATTGGTGGGGTCACACGCTCGGTTCGAGTGTGTTCGAGTTCGGCCACCATGGTCGGCATGGCGGCGCGTCGAGGCGCGTGCATCGGCCGGCACACTGTGCACACCGTGAGGCACACCGGCAAACACGAGCAAAACGAACAAGTCGTAAAGAGCGGCGGCGCAACACCTCGCCGTCGACTCCGTGCTCTCCGTGGGCCGCGACGCCGCCGCCGCAATCGCCATCTCTCTCCGTCTCTCTCGCTCTCATGGGGCCTCGCGCACGGGCGTGCGTGAGAAAGACAGAGACAGACAGTGCGGAGCCCCGGCGGAGGCAGCCTGCAGGAACTCTGATTTACTGCGACCTGCTACCCCTTCCCCCTCCCCTCCCCCCTCCCCCCTTCGCCGGCTTTTTCGCAGTGCCGTGGCAGTGCCGTCAAGGGAAGTCGGTCCTTCCCTCTTGGAATCGTTCCCGCCTATAATCGCGTTATTTCGCGCAGCGATTCGCCTTGTTGTTGTTGTTATTGTTGTTGGTGTGTGTGTGTGTGTAAGCGCGCCCGCCGAGTGAGGGTGTGTGTGTGTGTGTGTATGTGTGTGAGAGAGAGAGAGAGAGAGAGAGAGAGAGAGAGAGAGAGAGAGAGAGAGTGAGTGAGTGAGTGAGTGTGTGCGAGCGCGATGGCCGCGAGCGTTTAGCCGCACACAGACACCTCTCACCCGTCACGGACCCTTAAACGAATAATAACACGAACAACAACAACAACTCCAGCCACCACCACCACCACCGAAAACAAAAAAAAAAAACAACAACAACAGTATAAATTTTTATTGAGGTGGAAGGTGTCGGGCTGACTAATCCCGCGCCGCACAATACATGACGCGCGATATATTTGCGTCCCAGTCACGGAGCCTCGATGTAATCCCGCATCCAATCGCCTCCCCCCTCCCCTCCCCCCCTCCCCCTCCCACGCCCCCTCTAGGGCACCTCCCGGCCCCCCATTGTACCCCTCCGGGTCCCCGAGGGCACAAGAGGGACGGCAGTGTGCCCCCCGGGGGGTCACCGGCACCACTACACCATGGAGCATCACTCACAATCTGGAGGCGGCATCTTCCAGCTATGAAAAATGATAAGGCCCCCATTCCAAATTTTTTTTCTCCGTGTGGCTCGGAGCGTCCAGGTTTGAAACTAAGTCGAAATGGAGGAAATGTTAAATGGAACGGAGTCGTCACCCCTTCGGCCTGAGGGTGCACTCAGGGCGGAGGCGGGGAGGCGGCCAAAACTCTAGACGCGTTTTGAGCTCCAGGGTCGCTGAATGGGACTCGAACCGAGCGTGTGACCCCACCAATGGATTGCTCTCCGAACGAGGAATCCATTGGTGGGGTCACACGTTCGGTTCGAGTCCCATTTTAGTGACTCTAGAGCTCAAAACGCCGTCTTCTGGCCCACTGTGCTGCTGCGTTGGAGCTTTGCCCTCCAGGTTGGTCCTTTGTGCCGACGCGGTGTAGGAACGCTGAGGTGTACGTGCGGTGCACTGTACCACGGCCTAGGTGATGCGCATTGTCCGTCTCTCCCTCTCTCTCTCTCTTTCTCTTCTTCCTTCGGAATGCAGCCAGCCCACGGGGCGTATCGTATCCAATCTGATTGGCATTTCTCCGATCCAAGGCGGCCAGGGCGGCCAGCGTCCTCACGCCAGAAAAACGGACAGTGCCGCGGGTAGCGTATGAGTCTTCGACAATAAAAATATCGACTTTACTCTTTCCCTACTCCCTCCGCCCTTTCTCCCTCGTCGTGCCCTTAGCGCACAGTGGGCCAGAAGACCGGTGGAGGCGGCCAAAACTGTAGACACGTTTTCAGCTCCAGAGTCGCTAAATGGGACTCGAACCGAACGTGTGACCCCACCAATGGATTGCTCTCCGAACGAGGAATCCATTGGTGGGGTCACAAGTTCGGTTCGAGCCCTGTTTAGCGACTCTGGAGCTCAAAATGCGTCCGGAGTTCTGGACGCCTCCACCGGTCCTCTGGCCCACTGTGCAGCGTGCCCTTGGAGTGCCCTTGGCGTGGCCGCTCCCACCGTGAACGGCTTGAACGCGGCATCCCCTATGAAGTACGGCGTCCCCGCCGTCAAAGTCCCCGGCCGATGGCTTTTGCCCCCGCTGGGCGGCAGTGCCCTTGGCAGTGCCGT